TTCTTCCGTGAAATCTTCCGTTCATCGTTGCCATCGCGCGACAACCTCAGGTAGCTCACAAATGGGGGCTAACAGTTCTCAGGCGAAATCGATCGACTATTTGTTTTGTCAACAAAATCGGACAAGGGAGAAAATGGAGTAACATAGAAACGAAATTATTCGTTCTTCTCGATGGAGACTTTCGGAAAGTCGGTCGAGAAACGCGCAAGACGAATTTTGCAAGAACCGCCATGGATTGGTACGAGGGCATCGAAGCTCGTAATAACGCGTGAAAGTGGCCGTCTCTGCACGGTGAAGGGGCAAAACGTAGATACGTATACGTAGAATATAAACAGGCGAAAGATCGTGATGGAGGTGCATCCTCGATTCATCGATCTCTATTATTGGAAGAACCTTTCTCGATTTGAACCCGCGTGAACATTGGGCTTGGATATGCCTATTGGGACCGCGGTCTTTGGAGACTTGAATGCCTTCTTTCTTGAACACTGGTCTTGTCACAAGATGGATTGCTACTTGTAATTTCCTTGAATGGATTAATTTTTCATGTTTTTTTTTTTACATAGAAGTGTTTTTTATATTTCTTCTTTCAAGTATATCGAATAATTTTTCTAAAAATACGAAGAGTAAAAAATGTTTGTATAGGACATCATTGTAGAACTTGTCAAAGTAAAAACTTGTCATGAGAGTTTTTTCACCACAGGACATGGATGAAGTGGAATACACAATACTTTGGAAAGATATTTCAATTCGTTGTTTTGCCGCGTCCATTTGTAATAAAAATTCTGTTTTATACATATAATATGATGCATGCTGCTGTACATGTGTACATATCTTCTTTTGCCGTTTCCTTACGTACCGATAGTACAATCAATCATGAGGAAACCATGTTTGAAGGTTTCTCGAGAGATGGCACCACGAGTTCACTATCCTCGTGGCGGGTGTGATGAAAATGGAGACGGAAAGAAGGCAGAGAGAGAAGTTATACACGTTTACACGAGACTTCTATTAAACTCATTTTGCATTTCTTTCGATTTTATTTTCTTCGGAACCAAACACATAATCCTAGAAATTGAGTCGTGGTAATATTCATAACCAAGATTAATTTTTAACGATGTATTCTAGATTCAATGTTACCAATGAGCAAGCATCCCTATAAGGTTGAATCGACAAAACAATGAATTTAATTACTTCCTTTTTCAGTACATGATTTCGATTTGATATGTTAAAAGGAATCCGAAGCATTTTAGCAGCCACCTGCTGGCGACATAAGAAACGTTCGTTACATACTGGTTACGCGACGGCGTCACGATGGGAATTAGCATAATTCTCGACCCATACCGCGTTAGCATAAAAACGCGCATCGACTGATAATCATTAAGAAAGAACACACAGATTGCGTGACAATGCGAAATATCTTCGAGCGCGTTACATAAATACATTGCAATATACAAAATTGCTGGAACTGGTGTATTAAATTTACATACAGAATTAATCGCGTCTATTAATTTCGATGAACGTGTCTGTCCCCCCAGGTGTGCAAATTATTGTGTGTTCAGAAATGTATTAACCTCTACATAATTAACGAGACACAGAGAATAAAGTAGATTAGTAGACGAAACCCGTATCATCGATGATAAAGAAAAATACGAATATTCGCATTATAAAACGAAGAACGTGCCACTTGTCAGACATTATTACTCCTCGTTTCCAATGAACGAAGCTCAAGAACTGCTCGCGACTGCTTCTCGATATATGTAATGCGATCGATCGAAAAAAGACGATCATTGTATATGCAACAACTTTTTCTACGATCCATGATTTTCGCATTTTCTTCGTGGTGTTCTCACACTCATACTGCTTTTTCACCCATCTTCATGAGCGACACACGAAAGCCAAACGGGGAAAAAAAAAACAAAAAACAGTTAACGTTGAACAATTGTATGAATATTTATGTAAATTTCGTTTTTTACCGCGCTCGCAACATGTGTCGTTTATAATCCCTGGAAATCATGTCTCGGGGAATGGTTACGCAATTTACGCGAAATTCGACATGATGTATTCCGTTCGTCTTAACCTTTTCTCTAATCCTTGAAGGAGGTCTCAGGTTCATCGATGACCGACCAACGATTACCTGCTTGTTGACAATCTGATAAAGTCCGGAGCGTCGTTTAATGTATTCACTTTCTAGGAGAAGTTCCATCCCTCCTCTCAATTAACGACCGATAACGTTCGACGCTCGGTACAAGCGGTCGTGTATAATTCAGACGCTTTCTCTAAGAGTTGCGGAGTGCCCAAAATTGACACTATCAACATTGAATAATACCTACGCGAGCTCGCACTACCTCCTAAACACGGAGAATTAATTGAAATAATTGCCAAGATTCCATCGGAAGTAAACCGAACGACCTTTGGTCCCCTCGGCATGATCCATCTGGTAGTATAACAGGGAAACCATTCGAATTCAATCAATCTCGAAGCTATTTATCTCACGATCTATCGACGGAATTACAGTTAGGGATACATCGATACCGTCAAGGTATCGCTACTTTTCCCCGTAACTTGCATCGAAAGAAAATGGATACAAAGACCTTTTTTATTAATATAATATATTTCAACCAGGCTGGAGTAGAATTTGATTCGTATGGTCTGGATACATAGTGAAAAGCTGCAGTATCCGAGGACGTCAGTCATCTCGAGCTTTAAACAGTTGATGAGATTAAAGTATTAAAGTTATTATTTTGTCGAATGTCGACTCATTCAGGAAGAAGTATTATTTTCTTATTAAAATTGGAATTTTCACGTTCAAACAATGAAAAATGGTGAAGTATGAAACTCTTTATCTAGATTCTAGATAATCAATTTGCTCATCTCTGATTTTCACGAAGATATATCTTATTAATAAACATTTGTTAACGAAGACATATTTGATCAACGAACATTGATTAGATTTTTTTATATCGATTACTCGTCTCATTCCATATGAGTAGGTACTTTTTTTTTATACCGAGTACGTATGTATCATATACATATATGTATATACATCGAAACGAAAGTATCGATTATTTACTTGTATTTACTTGGATCAGTTCGTCCCTAATTACAGTAAGATATTGATACTCTTCTTTCTCCCTACCCCTTTTAGGTGTTGCAAAGTGGCACAAGGTCTACGATTCGAGGTGTCTCGCGAACGGAAAACCCCTGCGCGCACGCTTACGATTTTCGACGTATCGACGAACAGACGACGGGGCGCGACGTCGAACGGTCTTCCTGGGATTTACATAACACACCAGCCGGACTGACCGCTTTCACGTCTCTACATACTTATACCCGTGTACCTTCGGCCGCATTTAGCGACCCGGTTCGATATACTCCTGTGGCGGCGGTTTCTCGCGTCTCGGTGGCCTCTCGTCTTTCCTACCCGGGTACAACATGGCTCTTTCAGGGTTAAATCGACCCGACGGGATCCTCGGTTGCCCAATATCCCACCACGTCCGTTCTACATATACATATGTATGTATGCATGTATGTATGTATGTATGTATGTATGTATGTATGTATGTATACTTACATCGACACATTCGTGACTCGGCTCATCCTAGGCCCAAGGCACAAGGTTAACCATAGGCAATGTTCGAATTAGTATTATGTCGGGTGCGCGGCAATGATAACGACCTCTCCCCAAGCTTTATTAATCGTGAAATAATAGGTCCGATGTGCCTCGAACGAGGCTCTTTCGTTGTTTCGTAAAATAGTTTGTCATTTTCTGCCGTCTATAAATATGTATACATACTTGGGAACGACATGACTGGACATGAGTATGTTCTATTTTAACCTTTTCGATATTTATGTCGCGTATATTCGTCGTGAAAAGATGGCATTTGTTTTTCTTTAACCCTTGATTACGAAAGTGTAAAAATTACGATCTCAACATATTAAATTCTTATAAAAAACGCCGTATATGTCGTGCACGTAATGTTAACGTTTGTCCTGGCTGTGCTAATTAATTGTTTCAATTATGATTTAAACTGTGGTTCGTCGAAAGTGTAATTGTTTCAAAGATTTCTGCCAAAACCTGGAAAGACATTGGTTAGTCAAGGTGTTCAAAATTAGTGCAATCGCGAATCAGATCGTTTCCTGTCAACCGTTCGAAGAAGTCGTTTCATCCGATGGCACAGAGGACACGGAATCTCTCTCTCGTTGTATTGCACTCTAGACCCGCTATTAATCGCTCGCCGCGTGTCCGACTCGAACGCGTAACGACAGACCACGCGCGTTAGTCCTGGATCGCGTGATCCGAGGACAGCGGGGCACACCAGAGCTACGGAGCAATCAGGAAATCGCCGGATAGATGTGTCTGTCCGCCGTTGTTTGAGTAACCCATTGCTTTCCACGACGAATTAATGGGCCTCATTCGTCGCGAGCCGTGCATACCTCCGGCTGTCTTACGCGCGGGAACCATTATGCACGCAGAAATATGTGCAAACGGTGGAACGAATGTGAGAATCTTGGAAGTTTTATGTACCACAAGTTCGATAAATCAATTCTCCATCGATCATTCTCGAAGACAATTACGTCTATTGTGTTTGTTGAATCGAAAACGAGAACGAGAAATAGATTTCTCGAAGACGAAAAAATGGTATTATAAGAGTAAAAAGGGTTCGTCGATCGAAAAATTGGGAAAAGGGTCAGCAATAACCAAGGAAATCGATCTCCCCCTAAGTATACTAGACCCGACGATAGCCGACGAGTGCACGTGCACCGAACGATACTTTCGCTTTTACGCGAACAAGTCCACGAAGGTGGCTGACACTACCTCCGCGAGACCTTGCAGAGACCTTCCCCTCCATTTTGGTTTAACCTGCTGACAATAAGAATAAGATTTGCCCACGTTAGACGAGCCGCGCATACTGAGCAAACGTCGGAGCCACTCGCTCGACCAGTTTGCGTCGCGGCATCGAACGATGACTCTGGCGTCGGGCAATAAATACATATAATGACAAATTGCTGCACAGACCGTTCCGAAAGCGTGTTTAGAAACCTCGAACAGCAGCGTTAGGGTCCATTTCGGCCCTGGATTTCGAAAACCCATTTCCGTGTAGAGACACGTTAGTTCCTACGTATAACTTACGAAGGTGTGTGAAGTTTCCGAGATTCTGGGTCAAAAGAAAAAAAAAAACATAATATTAAATAAACAACATAAGAATTGAAGGAAAATCATCGATGACTGCCCGGAGTCTCCTTGGCATTGACAAGGAGAGGTCCCCAGTCAATTTTCAACTTACCCTACACACATGTGTAATGTGCCCCTAATCATCTGAAATCGACGTCTATCTCTAAAGTGCAGCCCATAGACGATTCAGGACTGTGTGGATACTTACTCGTCTATGGTCGAACTCTTTATTTAATGAAATCAATGAGTCTAGTGGAAACCAGTGTGTGTGCTCGCCCTGTCGGATGGCCTCCGGATCGAAAAACGGCGAGTAAGTATGTAGTCACTTTCACTTTTTCGAGAGACACGACCGCGGCGGGCCGACGACGATGACGACGACGACGACCGCGCGGGAAAATTAACGCGTGGTTGAATGCCGCGCTAATCCCACGGAGGCTGAGTAGAATCTCTGGAAAAGGTTGCCTCAAACGATCCTTCTCTCTATTTCTCCCTCAGTGAAGATACACGCTAAACGACCGAACAAAATATAATAATACTAGAGTTAACATTGACGCGTACAACCCTCGAATAGAGTCTATTTCTCATGCTGTTTTCTCAGTGTCGATTGTTATGTACGAGCAGCAAGAGAGAAGCAAAACTTTCGTAAAATCACGAGCCATGTTCTCCTTTCGTTTCTGTATTCCCGATTGACCGTTTCATCTAAGTGCCTGGCGTGCTGCAAGTGTTTGCAGAACAAGAAGTACCGTTTTTGCGTGTTCTCCTCCTTGTACAAGCACCAAAAGTCATGGATACCTCGGGCGATTACGCTCGAACTTTCGGGCCTTTCCAATTAGGTACAAGAGAAATTCATCGACGACCACGTGGACAAACTCACAAACATGCCTGGAATAGCTAGTGACTATGAATTTTTATCACAGGACAGAAAATTGTTTGTTCGATCGATCCTTGATCCATTCTTGATTGTCCACGGAACGATCAGTTATGCAAGCTTCGCAAGAAACAGACTAGACAGCCGGTTGGTAAAAGAACGCGAAGACTACCACCCCATTGGATGTGTGGTGTATCGATATAATTCGTAATGTTCACATGCTGGAATTTTCGAAGGAAAGAGATGCATAGTTTCCTGTTATTTAATCAGACTTCCGTTACGTCAGCAAGTAAGTAGCCGGGGGGTTACGCAATGCCCGGGGAAAGTGTGGACCGTCTTGACCACTGTTACGGTCGCTACCTATGTTTCTCGGCGTGCAATGAAATTGTTTGTTGACTATGGTGTCACCCAGACGATTATACTTGATGATAATCGTGCGCGAACGATTAGAACGTCGTTAACATTAATACGTCTGCGGTTCCGTTAGGCGAAAAGTATTACTGATATTGTGAGTCGACTGATATTTCTGGGGAAATTGTTACAACCCGTGTCGGGACAGCAATGTATTCTCGGGACATCAATGTATTCTAAATAGTTTGGTCAGCAATTAGCGTATTCTAGATAGTTAAACTCTTTCCGTCCCACAGTTGCCGTTTGTCTATGTATTCTAAATTACGAAATAGAATACCAGTATCATACACGTATGCATAGTTTTTCATATCTGTGTGTTCTCTGTGTACATAATAGTTTATTCTGGTCCTGTATACTGATGGTATAACACAAATGTAGCACTAAACGCTTTGAAAATGTTGAAATGTTCTAGTGTGTCACTTCTATGCCGTGTAGTATAGATAAAAGTGCAAAAAGAAATATGTGTTCGTAATTGTCAGAGAAATTTGGGAAGTGTCCTTTCGATGAATCGAACGTCTCGTTTCCAAGACTGTCGATTGTCTATCGGTCCTTTTTCCAAGAAAGGGAAAAAACATTAATGGAAAATCGATCGGAACCATTCAACCTCGACGCGTGACGCTGCTCGCGTTGATCAGCGTCAGTATACGATCATCTGTGACGCGCATACGGTGCCTTGGACCCGACGAACAGGTACATACGACAACAAAAAAATAAAAGTATCGTTCGCTTGACAGATTCTCGGAGGGGTGTTAAAAATCGGACGACGAGACTTCCCGGTGACGTTCACGCGTTGCGTAAACCATGAAATCACGATGATAATCATCGCTGGTGTGTGGTCTCGGAAGGGTTCGAGATGATTGTTCAAGCTGAAATCGAAAAAGTGCAGAAATAGTAGGTAATAGTTAAATTATAATTTAACTTTTAAAGTAAGAAGTGCAAGGGAAGTAATTTCTGATTATCTATGCAGATTATATGTACATATGTATGTCTGTTTTGTACTCTGAGTTGTTGTCAAATTTATTAGGAAAGAATTTCAGAATGTTAATAATTATTTAGTAATTTTTCGGAAAATACTTTTAATATAATAAATTTATTATATGGTATCTATGCATACATGTAGGTATACCAAACTGGTCAGGAATTGTATTCTGATCAGGAACTGAGTCCGTGACGGTAAGTGGAAACGGAATGCAATGAACAGACGCGCCAGCCAACTCCTATTCAGTCGCACGTGTAGTACGCGTATCCGGCGTATCTAGACGATTTTCAATTTCCGAAGTTTCAAATGAACAAATTTTCTTCTATATTTTCGACTTATTTCTTACACAGAATATCACCTACTTACCCCCGTTATATCACCAGTTGCATTACACGCCCTGTATAAGTAGCTTTCCCATTAGGATGTCGAATCGTTGACGATCCACAATTACCGAACAGTCATCGAACCCAGCTGGCGAAAAGTTTCACTTGTCTTTTTTCCCCCGTGCACCATGGTTTTTCGCCAAATTCCATTGTCAGCAAGCCTGAATCCCACCGCCGAGAAATGCCTATGACGTAAGATTTCTCGTGAAATCTCTCTGTTTCACTTTGGCAGATTCGGTGCAGGTTACGGGGATCCTCGACGTGTTTCCTCGACGCGTCGAAAGGCTCGATTCGCGCGCCATTGACACACGATGAAGATCCTCGACGAGCTTCGAGACGGTCGGGAGCAAACACTGGCGTTAACAACAAGTCTTGCAAAACTGGTGAGCAAGCTCGTGTGTGTTTTGTGAGTTAGCGTGCTTCGACGGCTCGGAAGACGTCACAACAAAAACAACTCGCATCCGTGAATATTGTACCTTGGTCTTTCGAGAAAAGACGAGGGTAGATTGGAAATTCTTTCGAGGACGTGCGACGAATGGCGTAAATTTTCTTTATTGTTACACACTGCTGTGCTGTGTAAATTATTTCATTGAAATTGATTTGATTTTCACGGCAAATCCCCTGACAATATGATTTTCTAGATGTGACGTATACGTCAGTTAAGGTTTAAGTAACTGAATTCGGTTGTCATCCTTCGAGGATCGATCCTTATATGTATAACCCAAGTAACTTCACTGATCGAGTTATACTCGGACAGACATAAGTACATACATATGTATATGCATATTAATCGCGAAGCCCCGCCGAGAAACGCAATACACGATTGCCGGAGAATTTTGCAATTATAATAATACATATAATCGATGATTGTCGCGACGCGACGCGTCTTCGTTCGCTACGTGGTCGGATACGTTTTCCGTATCTCGATCGATCGTACGGACGAGCAGTGACGCGCAAGAAACGGTTTTGCATGAAAAATCGATCTCGATCTTCTGTTGCCTTTGGGTCCCGTGGTTACATCGATCAACGAAGACTCGTTCAACAGATCCTCGTGACTCGAACGCGAGCAGGTTCCCTTTGAAATTCTAATCCAGGCCATTATGATTATAATTGCAGCGACAAAGAAAAAGGTGACGGTTATTCTTCGTTGAACATCGGTCACTAATCGACGTACACGTGCCGCCATTCGAGATTTATTAGCAACGGCGATAATAGAATTGCAACGCGTTTTCGTCCGTTAACCACCGGAAACGATCGTAATTCGACGCGACGCGACGGGGTGACACTCGATCTGGCAGTTATTTATTTATCTATTCATTTATATGTACCTATGTATAAACGGGCATAGCCCTTTTGTACAATAAATAACATACATGAAAAAATGAGCTTTGTGCAGTAAACTACTATATGTATACGGTGACTACATATATATACATAGTCAATGTAGTGCACGATATGGGGTCTAGTGTGTGTATATTAACTAATGTTTATTGCGGAGTTGTACTCGGTTTATACCATTTACGAGATTGTCTCCGTTAACGTTTATAAAGAATAGATGGATGTTTGTAGAAAATTGACGGAAAGGAGTTACCAGATTGCGTCGAGCAACGTTAAACATGATCGCGTCCAAAATGGTAAATTTCGAGATTGCTGTAGCGAAATGAGATCAGTTGAAAGTGGAAGTATAGAAGTTAGTGGAAACTCTCGAGATTCGATAGAAATTATGAAGCACGGTGGTCAAGGAAAGTGCCGCGGAAAGAAAGCAGTAACCTAGAAGTACTTCGGTAATAACAACTTCACGGTCACGATCACGAACCTGCGATCTGTACGGAACGTTCTTTTTTTTCTTTCCACCAGTTTTGACTTGAAAAAAGGAATGTATATATTCTCGACTCTTGATTCGATGCACTGTACAAACACTGTAGAAAAACTAAGATAACAATACATTAGCGACTAATTGTTCGTGAAGTCTGTGTAAATCAGACGGATCGTTCGTTCCTTAGTCATCCTCGTTTCCCAACCGATATGCCATTAAACTTTTAATAGAAATACGATGGGTCAATGTACGTGGTCTGAAATCTATTACTAACAATAACTTGTGTATCGTGACTTATCGTGATAGATGAAAATAATACTCAATCCGAAATCCAGACGAAACCAAGAAAACAAACGCATTTTTTTCGATGGAATCGTTTCCGTCCCGATCATCAACGTTCAAAACCTTGAAGCTCCCCCTATCTTCGCGAACCCTTGAAATGATTAATCTTAACAGAGATCCTGGCGGGAGGTTCAAGGTTTAAAATCCTGAAAACCGGCTTCTAATTTATTTCCCTTGTATGATTTTTTCATCGTTCAACAGACGATTCAAGTACCGGTTGTGGGGGAGACCAAGGCTAATTAGTAGGCCATTTCTTTAGTGTTTGATTTTTAATAAATTGTCCGGGCGAAATATCATTACACTGTCTGATTAAATGACTAAAGTTGACTTAATGTGACGACAATTAAGAAATATTTCAATGTTTTTCTAACATCCTCCATGATGATCAACCAGCCCCATGCTCGGGGGTTGGTAGGCTTACAGTATAGGGTAGGTTGACTGTAGGTACAATCAGTCACGAAAATGTTATTGGCAATTTATCTCAGTAGTAGTAAAATAACATAATGTAAAG